CTTGCATGCCCCATGTCTGCCTCCATGCTGACTCAAATGGCATGACAGTGCTCCTCTTCTTCCCAGTTCTCCTCCTCCTTTTAGCTGCTGAGTTTTCTAACTTCCTAACCCTAGGGGTATTTCTTTTACACTGGTAAAAAATGACTGTCTTCAAGCCAAAAAGAAAAAAAGAAAGAAAAGGAAAAAAGAAAAGAAAATTGGAACACTTGGTGCTTAAAAAAAAGTAATTTTTAGGATTAGATTGCTCATGGGTATGGGTAAAGGTTTGTGCTTACAAATATGAAGGCCTGAGTTCGAATCCCTAGATCCCAAATGAATGCCAACATGTAGTGCCAGTGACTGTGATCCTAGCCCCACTATGGGGAGACAAGAGATGTTCTGGAAGCTCTTGGGCCAGCTAGCCTAATATACACAGTTGCAGAACAGCCAAGAGAGCTTCTCAAACAAGACGGAAGGATGACACCCAAGGCTGTCCTGTGACCTCCATATGTGCACACCCTCAGAAATCCATTTTTGCCTTGCCCTCCATGCCTCTCCTATACATTTTGATGGAGAGCTCCCTTTTTGTCCCAGGATATCCTGCCCACCTTGTGTTGGCTTATGGAGGGCACTCCGGAACTGATTGTAAAAACACTGGTGAAAGGTCTCTTCTTAATTATTCCATAGATATGTTTTAGAAAGGATCAAGATAACTGCTTATTTAACTCAAATGAATTCTCTTTTTAAATTTTATTTTTATTTATTCATTTTATATATAGTGTTCTGCCGGCATGTATGTCTGCACACCAGATTTCACTACAGATGGTTGTGAGCCACCATGTGGTTGCTGGGAATTGAACTCAGGACCTCTGGAAGGGCAGCTGGTACTCTCTCCAGCCCATGAATTCTCTTTTTAAGATTTATCTATTTCATTTGTATAGGTATTTTGTCTGCACACATACACTTGTGCACCACGTGTGTGCCACGGCTCTCCTGAAACTGAACTTACAGTTGTGAGCTGCCATATGGATGCTGGGAATTGAACCTGGGTCCTCTGGAGAAGCAGCCCTACTGAGCCATTTCCCAGCCCCTCAGATGGATTCTAAATTAATAAAGTCCTGGTGTTTTACTGAGTTAGCTTTAGAGTCCCTAACCCTGTGGGTAGTTACTGGCAGTCTTGCACTAACTGCAAGACCAGGAACATTCCATGACTTCTAGAAGTTTTTTCTAAGAAGCGGTTGTAACTTACCAAGCTGTGGCTGGGTGGGGGAGTTGGGTTTCCAGGGTAGGCAGAAGGAGAAGTGGGCCTTCTGCATTTTGTTGAAGTTTCATTTTCCAAACCTGGCATCCAAGTGTTTCTTCCTCTATTTATAACCTATGGTATGGCCGTTGTCTTAGTTAGGGTGTCCACTGCTGCAGAGAAACACCACGACCAAAGGCAAGTGTGAAGTGTTTATTTGGCTTACACTTCCAGATCATATTCCTTCATTGGAGAACGTCAGGACCGGAACTCAAGCAGGGCTAGAACCTGGAGGCAGCAGCTGATGCAGAAGCCATGATTGGGCACTGCTTACTGGCTTGCTTCCTTCCCCATGGCTTACTCAGCCTGCTTTTTTATAGAACCCAGGACCAGCAGCCCAGGGATGACAACACCTAGCATGGACGGGGCCTTCCTCCGTTTATCACTAATTGAGACAATGCCTCCACGAGTCTCCTTCCGCTGATGGCTCTAGCTTGTGTCAAGTTGACACAGAACCCAGCCAGTACAGCAGCTAAGTCATACGTGGGACACGGTCTGTCTGCCCCAAGTTTAGAGTAGGGAGACCTCCATCCAAGTCATAAGAAGTGGCATTTACGAAGAGATACATGGTGGGGTCTCTGATTTGGGGGTTGATGTGGCTACCTTCATTTTCTTTCAAATTAATCATGATGCTTGAATAAATGCAGGTTGTAGCATGTTTTCTGAAACCCTGTGGGTTCCACTGTTTTGTTTAGGCGTTGGTATTAATCCTATTTCATAGATGAATAAATGGAAGCTCTCATGTACTCAAAGTTGCATGGTCCCCACCCCTTAGAGCCTATAAATCAGACTGTGCTGCCTGCTTGTCCTTACTGGCCCATGAAGGAAAGGGATGCTGATGTGAGCGCCACTTGAACTGCCATCCTTACCCCACCTGGCCTTGCCACCTAACAGGAAATAGGGTCCTGGTGGGAAATGTCAGCTGTGATGACCTCAGGCTGCATCTGCTGGGTGACTTCCCCTTGCCAGGAGCGTGCGTATTGGAGGACTGTTCTGTTTCATTCCAGCCCCACTCAGATCTGGGGTTCTTCCTGGTGGTGTCTGTGGCATTGGGACCTTTGCCTTTCCCATCTTGTACTGGGGAAGGATTTCCTGCTTTAGATCTTAGATGTCTGTCCTATTCTTAGCCCCTCTGAGGAGGCTGAGACTTGAGGAGGAGGTAGGGAACCGGACATAAACGCCTTTGCTCCTGCACATGTCGCTGCCTGTTGACTGCCGTGTGACAGGACGCTGCCACTGAATCTAGGGAGAATGAAGGCACAGAGCAGCCTGTGTCCTACCGGTGCACATCTGTTTGGAAAGGAAGCCCCGCTGAGCTTTCTGTCAAGGATTTAATGAGGAAAGACTTCATCAGTGAAGAGACTTCTGAAGAAAGCCAGCCAGTATATGACAAGTGAACAGGAGAGTTTTGTAATCTGCATTTCCCTGTTTACTTCTGCCCCCTAGAGGAGAGAATATGCCATCGCAAGAGGATGGAGTGAGATAGCAATGGGACTGCAGTTCTAATACCCAGGAGTTGCTAGCCCAGGCAGCGCTAACAAGCTATGGACCTTAACCTTTCCTCGGTGGAACAATTAAAAACACAATTACTAGTGAGAAGCAGAAAAAGGATGTTTATTCAATGTGGCCACATTGGGGAAAAGAGCAAAGAGCTTCAGCGACACTTTAAACTGTCTTCAGGGTCCCGACAGGAAGTTTAGGTTTAAATAGAAGACAGGAGTTATGCATAACCAAGCCGTCCTTGTCAAGGTCTGGCCCCGCCCACCGTCGTCTCCTCTATCCCAGTCTCTCCGGCAAATCTATCTGCCCAGTCACTGAGCTTCAGCCCTCTCCTTTCCCCAGCTTGAGGTCCTGGGGTAATTCTGATTTCTTGGGGTTGGTTATTTCAACAGTCTGTCATAGGGAGGAGCACATATGTCTCTAGGACATCTTCATTTCTGGGAGGTGGTTACAGTCCTAATGTAGTGTCTCTTATTTTCTTGTCCTGGACCCAACCTGGGTGTAGTTCTGGGCTTGGAAAGTTCCAGTATACACTATGCACAGGTACTGTTCTTAGTCTAAGTAGATTAAATTCCAAACACACAAGCTGGCTCCCACCAGTCAGGGGGCTATCCCAGATCATTGCTTACCCAAAGCTGTGTTCCTTTTTCATCTTTATTTTGCCCCTCCACGAATCACTAGGCACCAAGAAGACAGATTGAGATTTTCCTGTCTTGAATTTGTAATTTATTTGTGGTTGGCCAAGCTGGATGGGCAAGAAGGCTGAAGCTGTGAGTGTGACTTGTTTGTGACTGTCTGAACTTCATACGGATCCTAGTTGATACACGGAGCATTGAGAACTTGTTGTCAGTAGTCACGTGGTCTTCAGTTGTTTTCTCCCCTTGACTACTTGCTGTGTAGTCTCAACTTAGATCAGGCCTTTGTTCTCAGCAGAAGTTGTGGTGCTGTAGTTATTGTTGTGTGGTTTGGTTTGGAGCAAACTCAGGTTAAGAGTTCTGGAAGTCCACACCACAGGAGAGAGGGGTTGGCATTAGTGACAAGGCACAAAAGCTAGAAAGTGGCTAGATAGTCCGGATGGGAGACGCTTGCTGAGTGTGTGGGTTTAAGATGGAGCAGTTTTTCTGCTCAGTAAATCAAGAACTGGAGGTGTCGATCAGATAAAGAATAGAAAAGCTCTTATTTTTTATTATAAAAGATATTAATTGATTTAAGAGGCTGTGTTTATTCTCCCACTAAAGACAAACTGAACAGATGAGAAAGACTTGATAGGACCTCTAGAGCCATAGAGACTTCTAGAATATGGGGAAAATCTTTTAAACAACAGAATAAGGACTAATGTTATTTATAATAGCACCATATCTTTATTTGTCTTGCTTAATCCTTAGAGAATTCTTTCTGGTTGGTGGCTGTTAACACTTCCATTGAAAGCTAGGGAGATGGATCTTTTTTATGGTCCTGCAGCCCAAGGTGATAGGTAGTTAGGTCAGGATTAGAAAGCAGGCTTGTTCGACTTAATACCTATTCTTTCTACTATCTTTTTTTTTTTTTTTTTTGGTTTTACGAGACAGGGTTTCTCTGTTTTGGAGGCTTTCGGTCCAGCCTGGCCTCGAACTCACAGAGATCCGCCTGCCTCTGCCTCCCGAGTGCTGGGATTAAAGGCGTGCGCCACCAATGCCCGGCTCTTTCTACTATCTTATACTGCCTTTCAAGGCAAAGGCAGCCCAAGACTAGGAGTTGAGCTGGGCAATCTAGAAATAATCACAACTTAGGTCTAAGGACCTCTGTCCTAAGTCCACAGCAAGCGGAGGGAACTCATAATTCATGCTGCCGTTTTGGCAGCCATTTCAACCGAGGCCTGGATTTGCACTCTGAAAACACTTCCCATTCCTATGTATTTTGAGGAAAGGGCCTTTTGAAGAATCTTCCACTTCATTTTGGTTGACAGGACAGCAGTTCTGTTCTTTCTTGGTCCCATTGCATTGGGTGGGTTGCATCTGGGCTCTGTCAAATCTGCTGGTGGCTGTGAGTAAAAGCGGGGAATGTGCCTTTGTGAGAAACCTGGGACATGAAAGTTACACATTTCATGTTTCCTTACTTGTGATTGGAGGCCTCAGAGTATCATTATACAGAAACAGATACGTAGTAGACCAGGCTAGGAGTCATATCTGGTGTCTCCTTGGCTCTTCTCACTCCAGTGTTGTTTTCTGTTTGTTTTCTCCAGAATATCTTCGAGAGACCTTCATTTCCCTGGACTATCATGTCCAGTCTTTCTTGTTTCCTAGTGCGGATGATATACCCCAGATTCTTCGCCGATTTGCCCATCTGCCCCAACAACGAGACTATGACAGCTTCGTATGTGTTCTAGTGAGCCGAGGAGACTCCCAAAGAATGATGGGCGTGGATCAGGCCCACTCAGGATTCTCCTGGGATTGTGTCAAGAGTATGTTCATGGGGGACATGTGCCCTTCTCTCATAGGGAAGCCAAAGCTCTTCTTTATTCAGAACTATGAGGTGATAGGTGGCCAGTCAGAAGACAGCAGCCTGGAGGTCGATGGGCCAGCAATAAGGAATTGGGACTCTAAGGCCCTGCATCCTGGCCCCAGCATGATTCACCGGGAAGCCGACTTCTTCTGGAGCCTTTGCACAGCGGATGTGTCCCAGCTGGAGAAGCCCTCCAGCTCATCCTCTGTGTACCTGCAGAACCTCTCCCAGAAGCTGCAGCAAGAAAGGTGAGCACTACAGTCCGTGACCTCCCCCCTGATCATGTGTTTGCTGCACTTCTACCAAAATGAACAGGACCACAGTTCCCAGGAAAGAGACTTTCTCTTCCCTACTAGGGTTGCTTTGGGGTATGATATAGACTCAGCACAGCTTATCAACACTTGGGCTTGTAGTTTGGATGTATTTCTTATACTCTGCTAACATGAACTAAGCTTTACCATTGGTGTGTATTATAGAAAAAGCACAGTGTTTTCATTGTAGGGTTCAATGCTGGCCTGCTTTCAGACAGGCTTCCACTAAGGGGCTTCCACAGAAAAAGGCATGACTGTAAACATTTTTAATGCTTTTTTTTTGTATTTACGAGACAGGGTTTCTTTGCATTGTTTTGGAGGCTGTTGGTCCAGCCTGGCCTCAAACTCACAGAGATCCGCCTGCCTCTGCCTCCCGAGTGCTGGGATTAAAGGCGTGCGCCACCACCGCCCGGCGACATTTTTAATGCTTAGTAGGAGAAGTATTTCCCTAAAGGATCCATTACTGTACTGGCTTCTAGTTAACTGAATGAAGTTACAATACCCTTCCAAGTATAAGATTAATTGGCTTTTTTTATATGCCCCCCTACTGACAATGGGCAATAATGTTTCTGAACTGCCAGTCAAATGCTTGTATTCTGAGGACCTCAGGTGCCTCTCTAGCTTTCTCTCACCAGTCTCCTCAGTGCCGGCTCAGTAGGGTGTGTTCTGGGAGTGATGCAGCCTTCCAAAGGAGATGCTCCAGGGATCAAGGGTAGTGATGGCCTTTTACAGTCTTCCTGTCTTTGCATGCATGATCCACGTGACTTATCACCTAGCTGGTGTGTTCTCAGTAAGATTCAGCTGTCTCTGAGGAAGGAGACACTAGCCACTGGGCCAGGGTGCTACACTAGCCACTGGGCCAGAGTGCTGCCATCTTGTTTGGATTGTTTGCTAAGCATCTTATGGAGCATTTAAAAAGGGTGAGTTTCAAAGAGCACTCATACCTGCTGGCTCATCTCACCACAGTGACAAAGTGTCTTCTCTTTGGAGTTTGCATGGCATTAAAATTTACCTTTCTCTTTTCTGCTAGGAAACGCCCGCTCGTGGATCTCCATGTCGAGCTCACGGACAAGGTTTATACCTGGAACAGCAGAGTTTCTCCTAAGGAGAAATACTATTTGAGCCTGCAGCATACTCTGCGAAAGAAGCTCATCTTATCTACATGAAAACCTGATGCCTTTCGGGTTTTTGGAATGTAGACCAGGGTGGCTTGGAGCTGGCAAACCTCCTGATTGCTGGGGAACAGCACTGGAAGGTCACACCTGCTCTGGTTCTGGTGCAAGGGCTGCTGCCATGGACCACACCACTCCAGCCACCATTCCTCCCCACTATGATGGCCAAGTGAACCTCTCCTCCTTAAGTTCCTGTGTCAGATATTTTGGCACAGTGTGGAGAATGGTAAGATGCAATCCCATTGCTTCTTGGGTTTATCTACAAAGATGTTCTAAGTTATTGTAAGGGTGATAGTCTATGGTCAAGATTTGAACTATGACACTTGAATGTAACTTAAGGAGGAGACTTGCCTGGGTTCATCATCTAATTGGGTAAATTGTTTCTATGTTTTGAGTGTCTGCAGCTAATCATTATTAAATTATTAGCTTATTAAGTTATTAGAAGTATCCATTGCTTCATGAACTAGGGATTTCTGGCATTGTTGCTCTTGAACTTGCACATTTGTTTTGGATGTTTGTGACTCTATATTTACATATATGTTATTTTTTCAAAAACAAATTTTGTTGTGTATGTTTAAAATTTACAACATGATGCTTTGGAGCACATATATATGTTTCCACAGTGAAACAATTTAGCCTATCTCTAATTTCACATAGTTAACTTTTTTCTCATGAACACAGTAAGTCTATTTATTTATTAACACTTTTGAAACAAGTCTGGAATTCTAGCTAAAGACCTGTCGTACTGGTACTAGGATGGTTGAGGCCAGAGGATCACAAATTCTGATCCCAGTTTGACTATGTAGTAGCTGTGTGATGAGTTTGTGTGTGTGTGTGAGAGAGAGAGACAGAGACAGAGACGAAAGAGACAGATTCTAACATAGTCTAATTTTATTAACTGCTATAAAATGTCTTAGGTAATCCAATAATCTAATCTCTATTTGTATTTAAGAATAGAAAAAAAAAGGCATTGGTGGCATATGCCTTTAATCCCAGCACTCAGGAGGCAGAGGCAGGTGAATCTCTGAGTTCGAGGCCAGCCTGGTCTACAGAGCCAGTTCCAGGACAGCCTCCAAAACAATACAGAGAAACCCTGTCTTGAAAAACCAAAAAAAAAAAAAAAAAAAAAAATCAAAGGCTGGGCAGTGGTGGCGCACACCTTTAATTCTAGCACTCAGGAGGCAAAGACAGGCGAGTCTCTGAGTTTGAGTCCAGCCAGGTCTACAGAGTGAGTTCCAGGCCAGCCAGCTAGGGCTACACAGAGAAATCCTCTCTTGAAAGAGAGAGAAGTAACTCCCCCAGCGTCTTCCAGACACAACAGGACTGATGCACATATGAACATATGAACTCAGAGACTGCATATACAAGATCAGTACAGATTCAAACCAGACAAAATCCCAGCACTGAGAAAGGGTGTAGGAATATGCAGGTCCTTGTGCTCACAGATGAGTGTTCAGCATGCAGGGTTGTTTTGTCAAAAGGAGAGAAGGCTGGGAAAGGATGTGGTTAAAGGCCTGGTGACCTCTGCACTATCTGTGTGGCCAGGCCACACTGCCTCCACCAGACCCTCAAGTTTATCTCAGTCAGTCTAGAGCTCTGTCTCCAGACCCTCATGTTTATCTCAGTCAATCTAGAGCTCTGTCTCCCCACAGACCCTCATGTTTGTCTCAGTCAATCTAGAGCTCTGTCCCCCCCCCCCCCAGGACCCTCACCAAGAGCATTGTTTACTTTGAGCCTGCTTCTAAAGTTTATTCAGAGAACCTGTCTTTATGGAAGACGTTACTTGTACAAGATTGCTGGTGTAGTCATGTCTTAAGCTTTTGTTATACACACAGGATTGTGTTCAGTAGCACCAGAAAAGCTTTTTTCCAAATTGTGCCGCATTTAAATAGGCCTAAAATAAACTACCGGGTATGTTTGAGCCAACACTGGCTACTGAGTCATCTTGAACCAGACTTCTGTCTTGCCCCATGTGGTTCGGTACTCAGTTGATCATGGTGTTTGCAGAGACCCCAACAAAGCCCCACCCCAATCAAGAAACCATGTAACTATGTGCAATAGATACCTACTGATAAAAGGAAAGTCAGTTTTGTTCAATGGAGTGTCATTGGGTATATCAACCACACTCCAAAGGCATCCCCATGCCCAGGAGTAGTTGGTCAACACATTTTGTGTGTGTGTGCTTTTTTTCTTTTTACTGGTTTTCGTTCCTTACTTTTTTTTTTATTGAGAAAGAGAGAACATGGAGTTGATGGTTAAGGGAGGTGGGAGGACCTGAGGAGTTTACGGAAAGGGAAATAGTACCTTACAGGACTGCTGCAGGGATGAAGTGTGAGGTTCTTTACAACTGTTTTTGAACTGTGCTTTTTTAAAACATTGATTGTGTCACGTGACCACAGTGTGAAAGGGCTGTTTTGGAGGGACTGAATCAAACTTTGAAACGTTGGTGGCGTTTGTCAGGTTGAGACAGAGAAGAGGAAATAAACCAAGAGGAGGAACAGACAGGAAAGATGTACACTGTGTTTAGCAACCTTGGGTATAACTTTTAGCTGGAATAGATGTAAGTAGGGATGTTAAGGTAGGGGATGGATGTGGATGTGGTCTAAATGTGGAGAGCTTCCTTTTAGCTAATTGTGATGTAGGATCTTTTCCTCTCTTTAATAATGGGACTTTTGATTCCTTTTTTTAAAAGATTTATTTATTTATTATGTATGCTGTGTTCTGCCTGCATGTATGCCTGCATGCCAGAAGAGGGCACCAGATCTTATTATAGATGGTTGTGAGCCACCATGTGGTTGCTGGGAATTGAACTCAGAACCTCTGGAAGAGCAGCCCATGCTCTTAACCTCTGAGCCACCTCTCCAGTTCCTTTTTGATTCCTTCTATGTCACTTTTGTACACATTAGGTCTCTTGTTTTCACCAAGTGTGATTCCCACTGCAATGTTTTAGACACACTAAAAGATAATGATATATAGAAAAGAATGAATACCCAGCTTAAATAAAATGTCCTAAATATGCATATGAGTACTCGTATATAGCTTTTTAAGGCTCTGGTCCTAAGTGTAGAAGTGATAAGTGCCCTCAAGCGTTTCAAAATCATAGTTAGCCAAGCATTCAGGTCAGTATAGTCATGATAGGCTACCAGTAGAAAAGAACTTTATGTAGCTATTAAGATTATATGTATAAATAAGAACATATATTAATTAATACACATTAGACACCTGGTCCCAGTTGGTTGTGCTGTGTGGGAAGTGTGTCATGGGGGGGGGCAGGCTTTGAGGTTTCAAAGTTATGCCATTCCCAGTTTATTCTGTTTCCTCTTTGATCTTCAAGATAAGAGCTCTTGTCTTCCTGCTTTTGCTCCCATGCCTTTACTACACCATTATGAACTCAAACCTTCTGGAACCCTGAACATAAGCTTTCTCTTCTGTAAGTTACTGTGGTTGTGGTGTTTTATCAGAGCAATAAAAAAGGAACTAATACAGTAGGTACTGTCTATATTATTATTTCTTCCCATTTTATAGATGAAGATGATGAGGCACAGTAACATCAGCCTAGAATCACTCCACAATAGGGTATGAACTCAAGCTGTAAAGAGAGTCATGCCATGGCCCATGAGACATGGGTGCTACAAAGAGTGTTGCCACCCGAACACTGTTTATATTACAAATGCTCGTTGCTAATATTAGATAAAAGAGGCATATAAAACATGAAATAGTTTGCCTAGTATGTTTACAGTAACTCTGTTTTGGGGTCAGAAAGAAGCATTCTGAAGTGGAATAGGAATGGTGGAATTGTGGCTGATAGCGTCTCTCATTTCTGATTTCTAAATTTTCATCAATACCCGTACGTAGTGGTTTGGAAGAAGATAGCCCGCAAAGGGAGTGGCGCTTTTAGGAGGTGTGTCTTTGCTGACGTAGGTGTGGCCTTGTTGGAGGAATTATGTCATTGTGGGGGTGGACTTTGAGGTCATTTTTGCTCAAGTTTCCCTCAGTGTGACACTCAATCTACTTCCTGCTGCCTTCCAAGCAAGATGCAGCCAGTACTATGTCTGCCTGTATACTGCCATGTTCCCCACCACGTTGATAATGGACTGAACTTCTGAACTGTAAGCCACCCCAATTAAGAGTTTTCCTTTATAAGAATTGCTGTGGTCATGGTGTCTCTTCACAGCAACAGAAACCCTAACTAAGACAGAAGTTGGTATCAGAGACTGGTGTACTGCTGTGATACGCCTGACCATGATTTTGTTTGGAGGAATTTGAATTTTGGATATTTGTGGTGGGAAAACCAGTGGAATGCTGTAAGCACTGCTTAATGGACCATAGTAGTAGGAGCATGGAAGACAGTGGTGCTGATAATGATTTGGGGCTGGATCAAGATGTTTCCAGAGGAGAAGAATTTTAGTATGTGGCCTAGAAATTGTTCTTGAGATATTTTGGTGAAGAAATGTGGCTGCTTTTTGACCTTGTCTGAAGAGTCTGCCTGGGGCTAAAGTGGAAAACATGGCCAACCTAAAGGTCATTTTTCCCTTTTAGAAATTGTACTATTCTGCATTTTGTGCATCTGTGGTAAATTTTGAATTAATTTGTAAAAGGTGTAAGACTGGTATGCCAGTTGTTTTCATGCTTGTTCTATGCCATGTACTGAGAAAGAATTTTCCTATTGAATTGCTTTGGGTCTTTTCACAGGTCATTTGATTGCATTTGCAGAGTCTATTTGTGGACTTTGTTTTGTTCTATTGATACAGTGATGTGTTATTTCAGTATCATACTGTCTTGATTGCTGTAGCTTTATACTAAGTCTTTATGTAATTTTTGTTTTGTGGGGGATCTTTTTTCTTTTTATGATATTCTGCCTCTGCCTCTTGGGTGCTGGGATTCCAGGCATAATCACTCTGTTTAATTTTAAGGGTTTCCCATTATTACATTAAAAATATTTTTTGTAAGAGGTCTGATGTCTTTAATGTTTATCAACACAGCGCATGTATGACATAATATCTGTTTTGTTTCCTTTCATTCATAGGGTCATATCTATGGGTTTTTATATGATATTGAAGCCACTCACATTTTTTCACTATTTAAGTAAAAGGATAAACAAAACAAAAATCCTGTATGCCTCTATCATTTATTACAGAAGCAGCACTTAATATTCTAGGTATCAACTCTAGAATATTTGTTACTGCAAATTTGGCTGTATATAGAATATATACTGGGCTCTTGGTA